GGGAGATTTTCCTAGACCGCGTTGCCAAATGTCCCTTTTCTTCTGTTTGATTTGAAGTGCAGGTTTTGTCTTTAAGGGCTAAGCTGGAGCAGAAGCAATCGGGAGCATGACTTCTCCTCAGAGAACGAGAGGATGCTTCATGTCTCCCTTTTTAATTATTTTTCCTCCCGAATGTGCAGAAGGGCCACAGGAGAAGCAAGCTGTGTGCTTTGAGGGGAACTTAGAGAGCTGCAAGCAGAGGTCGCTGCAGAAAACAGCGATGTAGCGAGAATTCTTGGAAATCTTTAGATCATTCTGTTCTACATGATTCAGCCAGAGTAGCTCCTGGGAAGAACTATTTTTAAGAACAAAAGGTCCATTTTGGAGACAGGTATTGTGTACAGAGTGTTTTCATTATTGCTGGAGATGCTAATGCCTGTTAGAGGCAGTTTTCCAGCAGTGCAAAAGCAGATGTGGCACGTGCTGCACAAGAGGCTCAGAGAGCCTTGAGCAGCTGCTTGACGTTGAGCACTTGTCTAACTTCAAGCTCAAGAGTTAAGCTCTTGCTCAGCTCTGAACCAGCTGGTTATGGAGCTGCTCTTCAAGAGCAAAGGGGTCGATGTCCCGAATCTGGCCCCAAACTGAAGTTCTCCAAAAGGACCTTCTCACCTGGGGAGGGGGAAGCCATTGCCTTGTGCAGTTGCTTTAGGGACATTTTCTGCCAAAGGGGTCACTCTGAAGACCTGGGAGTGTGGATTTTCAGGCGGGAGCCGTAGTATTAGTGGGCTGTTTTTCAGACATTGGGTTTTCCTCTCACAGAAGGTCCTCCTGGGACCAAGAGAGAACAGCCCCTCTTATAGACTTACATAAAATCCGGTGGATTTTTTTTGTTAAGCAACAGCACATCCAACTAGCAAAGGATCCTTCCTCTGAGCCAAGCCAGGCTGCGCTCATATTTACTGTGTTTACTCCATGGGAGAATAAAAAATGTGCAGTGCATGATCCAGTGTCTCCCTCCTTATTTCCCTGTGCCACCAGGCAGGAAGACAGGCAGTAAATCACTGCATGCATCTGGCCGTGCTGCTGTGGTTGCTCTGATGCTTAAAATTCCCTAGTCTGGGTCCTCACTGATGTCCAGGGCTCTGAAAATTAAGGCAATTGAGCTACTGGTTTTCTTTTGGTGAGGGCAATGAGGAGGGGAGAATCACAAGTCTCTGCAGTGTTGCTTTCTGCTGGCCTCTGAAATATCATCTACAGGGACGGTGGTTTCAGTACTTTAAGCAGCACTTAGATTCTTCCATAAATAAGTTAATTTTACATTACAGCAAGGGGCTTAATGTACCTTTGACTTGCAGCCTAGCAGATCAGAATGGAATTGTTTTTCTCTATTAAATCTCAAACTATCAATATCAGTATTTCCATGGGGAAACCTCTCAGGCAGTGTTGTCAAAGTGCTCAGATCAGGAGTCCTTGCTGCATTAGCCACAGAGCAGTTTGGTCTTAGCTCTTCCATATACAGGAGGTTTTTTGCATCGTTGCTGCGTCTCTCTTTCACTGCCCAAATTACTTGTATCTGGCCTCAAAATCAGTGATCTTCCTTTGTTCTGGTGTCAGGCAGATGGAATCCAGCAAAATATTTCAAGATAGGAATCGAGACTTTTCCAGTTAATGGTTTTATAGGGCCACTTGTGCCTTGGTTTCATTTGATTGCAGCTCCCCTGCTCACTGATACTCACTTCTTGGGATGAGCCACCTTTGTTTCGGCGCAATTGCAGCAAGGATTGCTTTGTTCACTATAAATAACTGGTGATGGTAGTAGCCAGCCACAGTCTGGTACATGAGACATTTCCATTGCCCCGCTGACACTGCCCTACTCTTTCTTTTTGGCTTAAAATCTGTACACACGGGTGTGCACACACATGTGCACACTTAAAAGCCTGTCCTGCTTCCAGGGGTAGGAGAGGCCCTCACGCTGAGGGACGCACTTCGGTGCAGCCCTGAAAGGAGTTTCCTGAGGCACAAACCATTTTGAGGGACAGTTCTAAGTACTGGTAGGGATTTTGATGCTTAGTGCAGAAATACTGGCCTAAGGACTATGACATGGCTGTCTCCTCTGGCTCTGTGCGTCACATCCAAACCATTTTTCTGTCCCTGCAAGGCCTTTGAAGCCTGTCGGACACAGGGAGGACCATTCTGTTTATCCTCTGTGATACTTAAAATAGAAATTAGAAAAAGCTCTCTTAATTCTTCCCCTTTGGGTCTCTTGTACATTCGTATCTCCGCAGCTATCCTTTTCTACAACCGTTCCTTTCTTTTACGTTTAACAAACATAACCTTTGTTGATAGCCTTCTCCCTAACTCTCCAAAACACATGTTTTAATATTAAGTCCCTTTGGCTCTTACAAGCTCGTACGCTGAGATCTGAGCACGTTCATCAGGAGGATCAGTAGGTTGTTAGACAGAGGTCAGGCCATTCATCATGGCAATACCCTCATTACCACAGCCCTGCTCACTGTGGGATTCAGAGGAGCATTGCCCTTCCAACCCTTAAATAAGACCAGAGAATTCCTCCTGTTATTAAATCTTATTTTTAAATCAGTGTGCATAGCTTACTTTATCTGTTGTAAATAACTTTGGTCTGAGCCATTTTTTACTGAATACTTGTGACCTTCCTCAGAAGACAGTGCTTTAAAAATATTCTTGTGGACACAGGGATTGCCTTTTGAGGATGAGGGTTATTTTAAGATGCTGCATCATCCTTGTAAGCTAATAATGGTAATAGTTTGTCATTCAGCCCTCCGAGGGTCCACGCTTGGAAGGACTCTGGCCTCTGAATGTGGCACTCTGCTAAGGATGACCTGTCTTGTGCTAAGCACTGTGTGCTGAACGTGGGCAGGATCCTGGGAACAGAGGGTGCTTCTCATCTTTTAACATGAGCCTCTTTCCCGCTGTCCCTTGGGGCTTCCTTTGATTGAATTTCCTGAAAAATCAGAGCACGTTTCCAGGCCCCGTGCTCCCTGGCACGACCGAGTACCTGCCCAACACGTGCAATTTCACGGTCATCTTTCCTGCCCCTCAGGCCCCTGTGCCAGCCTATTTCCTCCTCTTGGGTAGCCCTCAGGTAGAGCCTTTAAGAAGAGACCTCTGGAACGTGCTCCGTGGTGGTAATTCTGGATGCTCTGCCCTACCAGCTCGGTGCAGGAGTCGTGTCCCTCAG